TAAATTTGGTTGAAGTATTTGTATTATGTGCTTATTAGCAGATGCAACTTTCAACGAATAGAGGTCTCACAATTTGTACTATGTATATGTGGAAAAGTCTTGAGTAAATATGTGTTCCCTTTATTTACCAAATTGTGTGATGGCGGTTAATGTAATAATACCGAAAAACAAAGGTAAATATATAATGGTGGAAGCTGGCATGTCGACGAAGACGTCTCTGTTTCACCTCTTTCTACCGTGCTTCTTATATAGGAAGTAAAAATATATATATATATAGAGAGAGAATTGTGTATAGTCAATGTATAATCTATGTAAAATTACTATTGAATCTGGTCCACTATTTGTATAACAATACTTTAAAAAAGTACTTTTTGTGAGAAACAATTTGTGTTTGGCTAGTTAATTTGAACAACACTTTGAGCAGCAATTAGCATTTTATCAAACTTTTAAAATATACTTCTAAAAAGTGATTTTGGAGAGAAACTATTTCTTTTGTAAAAATGATAATGTATAACCGCTCTTAAAATAGTAAATATATACATTTATGTTCGGACGCGGGCTAAAAGTATCTGCTTAACAAAAACCTGCTTTTACATATATTCAAAAGTACTTTTTTTTCTTCTAAGAACTAACCTTGAAAAAAAAGTGTTACATTTTCAGACTCAACTCTTAAGCAAAGACATTTTGTCTAAAATATGAACCAATCCTCCAAATCTTTTTCCTTTTCTCATTCATTTTAATTTCTAATGGGAAAAATACAGCTAATACAGGCACATAACTGGAGGTGGAACATTTCTTTCTTGCAACATAAAACATAGTAACAATTAGGGGTACAAAGGAAACCAACAAACCGCACCAACCCGATAATCCGAGTCAAACCGAGAAAAAAACCCGACTATGGTTTGGTGTTGGAAAAAAACCCCGACCATAATTGGTTTAGTTTGGTTTTAACTAAAGAAAGTCAAACCGAAACCAAACCAACCCGACATTATATATATGGAAGTTTTAGATATATTTAATATATAAATATACTTATTGTGATGTAATTTATAAATATTTCTTAAAAGATTTCGTAATTTTATCTTTTGAGGAATTATTTCAAGGTTGGACTTAGAACTTTTGAATGTTCCAATAAGTTTTATAGGCATTAACATTAGTAAATTAAATAGTGCTAACAAAAGCCCAAACTAAAATTAAATCAATACTAATAATAACAAAAGACATTCAATTCAATACTACAAATGAGAATGAATTGAATATTTATTTTTTGTTTTGTAATAATTTAGATAAAAATATATAACCTATTTTTATTTTTTCTTTAGCGTTTAGTCATGTAATTAATACTCCCTTGTTAGTCTACTTATTTTAGCATGACTTAGTACTTTTAGATTATGTTTATTTTTATTATGGCTTTTTAACTAGCAATATTTATATTACATAATTTTATTGTCTTTATTGTTGAATATTTTAGGATAATGCCATGACATATCGCATATTTTGTATTATTTTCTTGAAAAATACTTTATATAGTTGTATCTTACTAGGAAAAGAAATACTTTGAGCACAATTCATATGTTTTGTTCTACGAAGATTTTACTGGAAAAACTCCCGAAAAAACAAGAATAACCCGAAAACTCGAGAAAAACCGAGAGCGAAAAATCCGAGTTTTATTGGTTTGGTTTGGTCTTTAGATTTAATAACCCGACACAATTGATTTGGTTTGGTAATTGTAAAATCCGAACCAACCCGACCTATGTACACCCCCTAGTAACAATCATAAGCCTGGAAAAGATAAACCTTTCTCTAAATGATTGCAGAATCTGTGAGATCAACTCTGTATATAATCCCAAAAATTTCCTCTATAGACAGAAGGTGTAGAACACACAGCACGTATCATTGTGCCATAAGACTGAAGATAGATGCTCTCCCTCTACAACTAGCGGAACAACAACAACAACAACAACAACAACAACCCAGTGTAATCCCACTAGTGGGGTCTGGGGAGGGTAGTGTGTACGCAGACCTTACCCCTACCCCGGAGGAGTAGAAACTCAGTGAAATCCCACACGTGGGGTCTGGGGAGGGAACTAGCGGAAAAGGAAGGGGAAAAAACAGATCTAGTACTAGTAAATTTCATCTCACACAAACTCAAAACCACCTTCCTTTTGTTGCTGAGTGCACTGCATAAGACATCCAAACCCCAGTTATATACAATTAAGAAGTGCATTTGATACATAGTGAGTGTTCAAAGAACACGCCTGAAGGTGAGATTAATCCGTACGGAATCTGCTTTCACGCGCTTAGGCACTGAATGAAGCCAATCCCGCTGAGTATAGCCTCTCATTACCAGCAATGAACCATGTTTTAGGACAAAGGAGTGTTGATCTGGAGAGCCAACCTTCTTCGGTCGCTTTTTGGGCGGTTCACCACTGGATGTTTTACCTGGTGCAATAGATAGCAAACAGAAGAGGAAGTGATTAACGAGATTCCCATGGAATCAACATTGTCACTTACAATGAGTTAACCGAACGAAAGGTCTACTAGACTGAAGACTCGCACATCATTTGACAAACAAAAGAACATTACAGAATCAATATTTACACTAATCACATACCTTGGGATGTTTTATCTGGTCTCTTCTTCAACAAGAATTCACGTTCACATCCAAAAGAAAGAGAAGCAATTTCTGGAGTTGGTCCATAAAGTTTCTCATCATCAGCATGCCAACCCACATAGTCATCGCCTCCCTTATACCTATTCAATAGTAAGCTGTTGAAACGACTTCCTGGAAGAGCTTTGTGGACCTAAAGTGCAACACTGAAGGTATGAGAAAGAAAGTCAGCTCAATGACCGGGTACTAGAACTTGAGAAGTGAAGAAGAGCATGCTTACAGCATCCAGAATGTCCTTAAGTGGAGGAAATTCATCCCAAGAATATGCATGAGGCTGGTATCCACTATAAACTAGCTGTGGTAATCCTTCAATTGCCACATAACAACTGTCTCTAGGCTGTTGAAATATTGTGAACGCTGTCAATCTATTTTCCCCCACAAGAACACATGGTAATGAGAGTAAAGTAACAGCATTTTTTATTTGAATGATTGGTACACATATATTTAAACATTTTTTTTATTTCTACATCACACCCCTTAGAGTGTGTCCCTTCCCCGAACCCTGCGTGAACGTCGGATACTTTACGCACCGGAATGCCCTTTTGATCGGTACACGGACAAACTAAACCAAGAAATAACACAATAAAAGAAGGAAATCAGCAGAAGATTTACAATTTGAATGGTCAGGCAAACTAAACTATGAAATCGCACACTAAAAGAGCGTAAAGCAACAATTATTTCTAATTTGAATGGTCAATCATGGGCACCAACAAATAAAATTACGAATCATGTGACGTTATTGTTCAAGCATATCATGCGAACAAGGACAAAACATTTGGCCATGATCCTTAAAGTCCTACCTAACGAAACGCAAAATTCGACCATCCTTTTTGCTCATTTTCAAATACAAGTCAGAACTGAACTGATTTAGTACAAGAGAAAAGAAGCATCCAGCTTTAGCATTTAAAGTTTAAGATCATCGGTTTCTTCTCTTTGCAGCCATTCTAAGATTGTTACAGGAAAAGCATCATTCTATCTTGATGGACATAACTTACTGAGGTTTTGCTACTACCACCATCCTAAAACGACGAGACAAAAACTGAACCAGAAACAATAAAATTCTTGAAAATCTAAATATCCATTTGAGATCATGTTGTTAATGGTAATTCGTGCATTTCAAATTAGTTTGTTCTGCTATCAATTCAAAAATTAAACTGTACAATAGGGTAAAAAACAAACTTTTTTTGTATATATATACACTTTTAGATCCCCTTGAAATAAACAAAAAGTTTTTAGTACTGATGGAGCTAGATANGAGAAGGCAAATGAGAGATGTGTTTCAATCCTAAACATTAGGCCTTCTTTTATAGGGGAAAAATTCCCCCAAACTTAACTCCCAACCAATGTGGGACTTTGGCATTTTGCCAAACTTCAACAGATAAATTGAAAGAGAGATTGCAGAAATGGAGAACCTGAACACAGGATCGACCGAAGACGCGAATAGTGGGACGTTTCCAGGGTATATTTTTGTTTAAATACTCTAAATAATCCCATGATTGGTCGTATCCTAAAAACTTAGGCATGTAGATTACTTGGCTTCCATTTCCTAATTCCACAACTACTCTCTTTGTTTTTGAATCGCTTGTTGCTGCCACAGCTACATTCTGTTCCGCCTCATTCTCAGAGTCACGGCCGTGGCGGTCGCCGGACTCGACGGCCTCGGCCTTCAGGTTCAGTTTCGTCACCGTCGCCATTGGCGGAGAAAGAGAGCGGAAATGAAATTGGTAATGATTTGGGGCCTAGTGGAATGTGGCGGCAAATTCGACCCGGAATCGATCCAATCAAAGCAGAATGGGCCTTAGTGTCCATCCATCCTGTCCAAGTGACTGATGTTTACGCAAATAGCCAACCAGTGTCACTGTTTACTTTTTAGTCGATATACATAGATTATATAATAATTATATATAACTATACATATATTATATATTCATTGGCTATTTTAATTTAAGTAATTAAGTGGGTTTTCTATTTAGGTTAATTCTTTGGGATTCGGATTACGGCCTTATTGTTTAGCGACAAGATTTTTTTTGCATTTTTCTTTTTCTTTTTACAAGATTTTTTTAACTCAAATACTCCCTTTATTTCAATCTAAATGACACACTTTCGTTATTAGTTTATTCCAAAACGAATAACACATTTTATATATTAAACAATTTAACTTTAAACTTTTCATTTTACTCACTTTACCCTTAATAAGAAGCTTTTATAGCCACAAAAATATCATAGCCCCACAAAGCTTTTGCCCCTTAAACATTCAAAAATGTTTCAAAGATGTTTCAAAAATGTTCTTTTTTTTCTTAAACATTGTGTCAAATCAAACTACATCATCTGAATTGAAACGGATGAAGTAGTTAAGAAGGAATAGAGAATGTCTAACTTGACAGTAGTTTGAATCCAATACCATATATTGTTGCCTAAATCACCATTATTAACTTGCAACATAAGATACAACACCACATATTCCCAGACAAATCTAGTAAAGAGAATAGCCTTTTCATGTTCTTTGGTTATGAGAAGTGAACAAATTCAGTGCTAATTGCTGCTTAAAAAGGACCTGTTTCTCCCCTTCCTTTCCACAGAATAAGATTAGATCTGCACATACTTGATTAAAAACAACAAATAATCCCTTGAGTTCCAACTGAAAGATGCTAAATGTAGGCGCTTCTTCTACTTGACATGTCACTGTACGATAACGCTGATCAAACAAGAAATGTATCGATGTCATTAAGAACCATTCTACTTGGAGGGAGCAGAACACGAAAAATCGATCAATTTGATCTTCAACTCTATCTCGCCAGACTTCACCTCACAAAGCCTTAACCAAACATGTTGCACAACTTCACCATTTACCCAACTAATGCTGCTATCAACTGCTAGACAATTGTCTTTCTCCGGGATAACCTTCCTTAATGTTGTCCCCTCGGAAGCAACAACGAGAATCTTTCTTAATCTAGCAGCTGCAACCAAAGGTTGAAGGCTAAGTTGAGCATTTCCCATCTTGTCATCTGCCTTGAAACGGTCTTTGTCAAATACTTCCTGTCACAGATTGCATTTCAATGACTTGGAACGAATTTTACAGAAATTTTTTTAGATAGCAGTTCAGGATGCGGACATGATTTCATTTTCATGTAATAAATAATATACACACTGAAGAACAAGGCCTTAGAAATCCTTGAAAATATGTTCCAGCATATTAAAGAACTATCTTAACTTCTTTTGCTTTATCTCGACCAATTAGGCGAAAAATTGTTGAAGAACATATACACTAATTGAAGCAGTAGAGTGAAATGACTGAAGTTCAGCCGCATCATAAATTTCATAGGATGGCCCTATGGGTAACTGCTATATCCTTTTCAATCTTAAACTTCAAACATTTCAGAACATGCAGCCCAACTATTAAACAGACCTACACTAGGGCAGCCCGGTGCACTGAGCTCCCACGATGCGCGGGGTTCGGAGAAGGGCCGGACCACAAGGGTCTGTTGTACGCAGCCTACCCTACATTTCTGCAAGAGGCTGTTTCCACGGCTCGAACACGTGACCTCATGGTGGAGGTCACATGGCAGGAACTTTATCAGTTACGCCAAGGCTCCCCTTTCAAAAGGGCAGCCCGGAGACCTACACCAATAATAGTCCAAAATAAAGAAAGGAAATATGCAAAACTTTTGCAAGAGGCAAGCACGTCATCTGCCTGAATTCAAGTCTATAAAATGGGATCAGACGTGGACTACGAGAGATGACAATACAACTGCTAACAATATAAAAGTGTAGGTAGAAGCATATACCAATTCGAGAACCTCAGCTGGTTCGGAGATAGAGAAACAAAATTCTTCATTCCAAACAGGATTAAGGCAGCAATTTATGACTTTGGTTTTGGCAGTCTGGTAAAACAATAAAATGCACTATCAGATGTCAGCTCAACATAGCAATTACAAAACTCTCATGTAAACTGAAAGGGTAACATCATATATCGTAACGAGCATCTGAGGTGACATACAACATAAAAGATATTATTTTCAATCTTTGCGAAGCAATTGTACGATTAATTTGAAATACTATTTTGTAAATGAAGAGAACTCTATAAGTACAAGAAAATTATTGTCTTGCAGGTTGAGGAAGTGACAACAACAATTCCATAAATGAAAGAGAGACGCCCTATTTCCAGCTCTATCCGTGAGACAGGCAAACAATCTAGCGAGAAGAAATCAATTTATCTGCGACTTCCATCACATCATAAAATATTAAACTTGGTCTAACAATCACAATTCATTATCGCTACTCACTAACAAGGATTCATAGTATGCAATTGAAATAAAACTAGTAAAATCTCTGAACGTCCAAGAATAAATAACATCTGAGTACTATGAGACAGATAATATCATAAGGAAGAAGCAGAGGGGGAAAACATAGAACGACCTGATTACCCAGCTTGAGAATGACATAAGGATCACTGGTCCTGAAATCCCGAATCACCAAACGTTTTCCTTGTACAACGGTCACTTTTATCTGTCCTAATTTGTCTCCCATAATCCACTACTGCAATGTCATAAACTCAGAGCTGCATTTTACAAGGCAACTTAACCTTATTATAAAATAGAATCCTGAACATATTAGAGGATATCAGAAAGCAGGAGTGGAGCGAGTCTATTAGGTGCGTGTTCGGCCGAACCTAATTACTTTTGCTTAGACATTGTATTTGTATTAGGAAATTCATTAACAACAACAACAACCACCTAGTGGAATCCCACACGTGGGGTCTGGGGAGGGTAGTGCACTAGTGTGTACGCAGATCTTACCCCTACCTATGAAGGTAGAGAGGTTGTTTCCGAAAGACCCTCGGCTCAAGAACATTAAAAATGGAGCAATAGAGAAACAATAGCAACAACAAAGTAATAAGACAGTGGAAGCAAATAATATAACAAGTAATGACAGAGATCTAGGGATATGAAACTACAAGAATAGTGTCAATCCTACTGCTAATACTGACACACCGTATAGAAACAAGGGACTAGGCATAGGAAAGTACCTGACTAGCACTACTACTACTGGCAAGATAGGAAATTCATTAAATGTATAAATATTTAATTGTGGACCCAGTAACAAAGATGAGATGAGCTACGGGTTCTATGGCAAATTCAGAANGGGGGTTATTTCTGTTATAATGTTTTAAAGGTGGAACTTTTCCTTATAAAACTATATGACAGGATTCGACTAAATTCTGAAGCAATCCATGGGAATACATGAAACTTATTGACAGAAATGTATGCATTTCTAGACATTTCATGATACATAGATCAGGAAACACAGATAGTATAGCAGAAAAATTCAGCTCTAATTAAAAAGAAGAAGAAAATGTCAAGAGTGGGAGATAATTTCTGGCAAAAAACAGACACAACAGCAACAAATTACACAAAACCCTGGAATTGAGCTTGATAAAGGGAACTTCATTAACAGTGTCCAACTAGATAATAAGCAGCTGAAACCTTAAAAACAGCAGACAGACCAAAAAAATAAGATCTTTAATGCAGATGAAGCAGACCCATATGTTTAAAATTTCCACAAAACCTTTAAAAAATCAGAAAAGAAAAAAAAAAGGAACAAATTTTATGTTACATGAAGCAGAACCAGATATTTCAAGAAAACTTTAAAACAGCAAGAAGGAAAAAAGGAACACTGTTTAACTCACATGAAGCAAAAGAAGATTTTCTTGTTGTGATCGCTCTTTGCTTTTGAACAGTGAAGAAGCCAAGATTCAACAAAGGGACAGCGCAAAATGGAGCATAGGAATGGGTGGATTATGGAATGACCGAATGAGCACTACTGTCTAAGATCCCACAAAAAGATAGTATAGGAGTTGTATTTGATTGATAATAGTGGAATAATTAATCCTAACATAAATTTTGGAATAAGATAATACACATTGTATACAAAATTTAATTGGTTATTAGTATTGTGTTACTAGTAACGGTTTTTGTTAGAGCATATCTGGCTTATAAGTACATTTTGGCTTATCTACGCGTTTGGTAAATACTCAAAATATTTATAAGTCAAGTACTTATAAGTTAAAATTAGCCATAAGTCATAAATTGGTCATCCCCAACTCATGGCGTTTTAGCTTACAAGTATTTTTAGTTTGACTAAGTCTTTTACTAGTTTATCCTAAATAATATTTTTAAATTCACAAAATATTTTTCCCAAAATAAATTTTCTAACTTTCTTTTCATTCCATATTCGTTGTTCATCTTTTTCTTTACAAAGAAACTTTTTAATTTATAATCTTTTGTAAAGTTTTTAAGGATATTTTAGTCAGTTTAATAAAAGAACAACTTATCAGCACTTTTCTACTAAACACAACAACTGCTTATTATTAGTTTCAGCATGTTTATCCAAACACATAAATGCTTATCTAAAAAATCAACTTCAGCACTTAAATGTTTTTCAGCACTTCAAGCTTATCAACTATTTACCATCAGCCAATCCAAACGGGGCTCTTATTGTCTTTCCACCTATTTCTCATCTCTTACAATGTTGATATTATATTATCTCTCTAGTTGTTGTTGCTGGTAAGTATCCATTATCTCTGTTCGCCTTTTGAGCCGAGGGTCTCCCGGAAATAGCCTCTCTATTCCTTCGGGATAGGGGTAAGGTGTACGTACACTCTACCACTTTGTGAGATTTTACTGGGTTGTTGTTATTATTATTGATAAAAAAAATTAAACATACCATTAACATGCTAAAATCTCACATAAGATAATACAATAAACGGTCTCATAAAAAAAATTAATAACTAATGTAGTGTTAATAGACGGTACTAATCTTTACACAAATAGTTGGTTAGATTACTATTTTTCTGGTAAATAATTTATTTTTACCAATCGAAAATATGTACACAAGAAGAAAAAAAAAAACTGGCTCTTGGTTAGATTCACTATTTACTTATTTTTAATCGATATATATACTTAATATACGGATTACACGCAATCATACATATATTATGCTACACTACGTATATATATTATACATCCATCAATTATTATTAGTTATTTAAACGATTGTTTGAGCAACTATTTAGGTTAATTCTTCTAATAAGAACAACATTAAGTTGTATAATATTATTTTATACGAATAAGTTATGCGATAAGCTATATTATGGAATAAGAATAACAGTAATAATAACACAGACATTAAACTATTTGAAGAATAAATAATTTGAGTATAATAATTTTCTCATAATTAATTACCTCATAGCATTTACTTCATTTTAATCATCGCATACAATTCCTACATTATAATTTAACTAGTATGTTAATCAAACAACATGAAGTTTAGGCTGCCAATAGACCAGTCTACCATGCTTAAATTCCAAATTAAGTCAGATAGTTTATACAGCAATATGAATACTCCATATCTTTTTGTATTGGTCTTTAAGTTAATTACCATAACTTTTATTTTCTTGAACTTGAATATGCCTCGAAAAGTCTACACATAAGTAACTAATAAGAATTAAAAATTGTATTAATGGAGGGTAGTTGGGTTTGGTTCATTTCCCTCATTCTTGTTTCTGTGTCTTCTTTTTCTTTTTCATACTCTTAATATATTTAAATCGTATTAGCCGTTTAGTTTGAACATGTAATTAAATATAGAAATGCAGACTATTCAACGCTATAATATATCAGAGTTTCCACGATCTATTTGGACTTAACATTCTTTCACGGTCCTTTTTTAAGTATTTGCTTTGACCAAATCGCAATTATTTCACTTTCCAACTTTTTGTAGCATCCTAGATTAATTTTCACATGCAAATATTTGTTTAGCACATTTATATTATGTATACAATATAAATTTAAAAAGCTTTGCAAATGTTTTGGTCGGAAAGTGAAAATATTTCTCAGGAAAAATATTTATTAAAGATTTATAGTGATATTAGCCAACCAGATAGTGTTTTGATCAATTTACCACAATCCTTCTCTTTTTATTCGGGTTTGAAAAATCATTTCTATAAAAGAAAATAATGAGCATTATGTCAGGATATTGTACGCTTATAAGTTATAAGTATATGTAGTTTCTACGATATATGATTAAAATTTGAGATAACGTGAAGAAATTTTAGGTCACATTTGTTACATTGGTTTTGCATCTCTCTTTAAAGCTTTAACAACAAATTCAAGCATTATTTTGAAAGCCATATTCTAGAAAATTGAACCACGAACTCAAGCACGAACATTCACTTAACAACAAAGTCAAGCATTAATAAAATTGCATTAGATGAAAGTAGACTAATAGCGTGTTTGACCAAGCTTATTTTTGGCTAAAAGTGTTGTTTTTTTGCCAAGCTTCTGGAAGGAAAAAAAAGTGTTTTTGAGGAGAAGCAGAAGCAGTTTTGAAGAAGCAGAAATAAGTAGCTTCTCTCCAAAAACACTTTTTTGAGAAGCACTTTTGAGAAAAATACACTTAGAAGCAGTTTTTTTAAAGCTTGGCCAAACACTAATTGCTGCTCAGAATTGTTTTTCAAACTAATTAGCCAAACACAAACTGCTTCTCATCAAAAGTACTTTTGAGAAAAGCACTTTTGAAAAAAAGCACTTCTGATTGGAGGACCTAACTCAAGTGTCATTTTTTAGTTACCTTATTAAGATTGCACTTTTCGAAGAGTTTTATAGCCTGTTTGCCTATAAAACGGGCTATAAAACTCTTCGAAAAGTGCAATCTTAAAAAGGTAACTAAAAAATGACACTTGACGGTTAGGTCCTCCAATCAGAAAATTAACGACGACGACGACAACAACATACCCAATATAAACCCACATAGTGAGATCTGGATAGGGTAGTGTGTACGCAAATCTTACCTTATCTCGTGGAGATAGAGAAGCTGTTTGCAGTGACCCTCGACTCAATAAAACATAAGCACAACAGTCCAGAAACAACAGTGTGGAGCCATAGAAAAGAAGCATTAATAACATCAAGATAGTAAGATAACCAAAATGAAAGAAACAACATGCAATAGTAGAAACCTAAGACTAAAAAATACAAGAGTATGTACTAATACTATTAGTATGAACAAGGAAACCACTCGACTACGTAACCTTTTACCCTAATCCTCGACCTTCCATTAGAAATCCTTGAAACTAATTTTCAGCTAATTAATTAATACTGTACCATTTAATCAATTTTGTGTAATTAATTGGTCAATATGTACAGTTGAAATTCGTCCAATTATATTAATAAACAAAAAGACTGTCAAATGTAACCACCAAATTAGATTCTAGCTAGATGTTACAAATTACAATAAGGGGAGGCACAAAAAGACAGCAACTCACAACTGAGATGAGAAGCCTTGACAATTTCAGTTACTAAAACTACAAATTTCTAAAAGCCCGACAACAAATCTGAAGGATGGCGTATAGGTGTCCGTAACACGCAGCGAAAGACAATAATAATTCTCGGTAGATTTTTTCGTGTTTAAAATTTATTTATATGTCAAAGATCGGACCTAAGACGTACCTGGTGAAATGAGTCTCCTTTTAAAATTTCTTTGATAGTGCGAAGACTATATGCGTATCCACACCGAGACCAATCCTTTGCTATCAACTCTTTGATCAATGAAACCCGCGAACAAATTGAACGAAAAAACTTGTGCTGAAATTTTTCTCAAAAATTTCAACTCAAATTAGAAGAACAAGAATCACTTTTCTTGTAATTGTATTTTCTGTCTTGGCTTGGTATGTCACTCTCACTTTCACAAAGTATTTTTCTTCTCAAGAATTAATGATGACAAATTTTGTTCCATATAAACCCTTTTCATATTTGGTTGAGGTAATGATTTATTTGGGGTAAAGTTTATTCCAAAAATAAACTTCATGGAATTTTATGGAAAATTAGAAAATCACGTAACTAATGAAAACGTGACTGCTGAGTCCTTCACGTAATTCCTCCAACTCAAAGTTGAATTCTCTTATTTATGAACTTTTCATATATAAGGAAAATATTAATCTCATTCCAAATGGGTTTGAACTTGCCGAACGTCCTTTTTAGGACTTTACATGTAAAGTTATCCAATTCACAATTGGATTCTAACTCATAAATCTTTTATATTAATATTATATATATATATACTCTTATATAAATAAATATTAATTAAATATATCAAATATATATATTTTAACCAAGAGATATAATTTAATTTTCTATTCCAAATAGAAAACTTCAATTTGTTTTCTATTCCAAATAGAAAACTTCAATTTGTTCACAATATTAATTATATCCTCTGTGCTAGTAAAGAATATAATAATATTTCATTTGGACTAATAACTAAATGTATTTGACTAATTAAACTCCTTAATTTAATTACCAAATAATAAAATAATTAATCCTCTAGCAAAGATCAGAACACTCGTTAGTGTGCGATCCCATAGGTTCAATACTAAACTGATAGTAAATTGACCACATCAATATACTAATCAAGGGTGGCGTCTAGCAACACTCCTTAACGACCGGATAGCATGAAATATACAATTTACTCTCAAGAACCAGTAGAAGAATAATGTAGTAATTCCTTCTGTCCTTATAGCTCTGGGTCACTCTAGGATATGGTTCGACTATCAAATCCAAATAGGTGACCAACTATGTGTTCATGTCAAATATAATCGATCATTGAATGACCTAAGAAACTCATTTCTTCTTTCATTCAATTGCCTTGGCCAAGGTCTTAGTTTGGTCGTTTATAATTCATGACAACATGGAGCTTAAACTCATTACCAAGAGTTGACAGATTCCATCTTGATCAATCATTAATTCGTTAATCATACCCAATATCCTTTCAACTATCGCCCTAGGGCCATAGGTGTCTAGTAT